GTGAATAACTGTTATCATGACTAATTACGACTTTCACAATTGTAAAAGTAGTACTTTTGTAACTAAAACAGGGGAGTGGTTAATCTTACAGTTCAGAAACAAAGGACCCTAGGACCATCAAGGGAGGAAGAGCGCAAGAATAATGAAGGACCTTCTCCAGAGAAGCAGCGATGCCAGAGACGGAGGCGGAGATGGGAATATGGAGAGGGTGAGTGGCTGAGGACTCTAGATTCATGGGAAGAGATTCTAAGAACTGGTGGCTAGGAGGCAGACTTGCAGAATGTGCCCTTTAGAGGTGTAAATTATTATATATGCCTGAGTGGTTTAAAAAAAAAAGTTTTTTTATTTATTAAAAAAAGCTAAAGTGAATAGAGAGAAATAATGTTAACTGATGGTCTATGGAGGGAATTATAACCATTGTAATGAAACAAGGTGTATGATTTGTTGAATGTAAAACTGATGATCTGCCCTGTAAACTTTCACTCAATCCACAATAAAAACCTTAAAACAAAAAAAAAGGAGAAGCAATTGAGCTGAGCTTCCCGTACATCTACCTACAATTCCAAATTACTCTTCATCTTCCCCATTTAGGAGCCCTGGGAGCTCGTAGGTTATACCTCTGTTGAGCTGCTAAGCACTAGGTTAGCAGTTTGAGTCTACCAGGCACTCTGTTGGAGAAGGATGAGGCTTTCTGTTCCTATGAAGATATACAGCCTCGGAAACCCTACAGAGGGTGACCATGAGCCTGAACTGACTCTATGGCACACCACCACCAACCCCTTCCCCATCCAGCCTTCCTGGCTCAGAGGAACAACTGCTCATTTCTTCTTCTTAAGGCTGCATCATATTTTCCTTCCTTTCCCTGGACATCCCTCTATGATCCATCAACCATCTTTCATAGTTTCAAACTTTCTCTACGTGGTGTACTTAGTCTATGTTGACCAACAAATACGTTGTCTTTCTCTCCATTCAAAAAGCAATAAAGAAATTCTTTCCTTGACAAGTTCTTCTGAAATATACCATTTCTCTCTCTACGTCCAACGGAAGGAGTAATACTCCAATTCTTACCTCCCATTCATGTATAAACCCCCTCAGTGCCAACTTCTACTCACAACAGGTTTCTCAACTGCTTTTGGGAAGATCATCAATAACTTTCTGGGGGCCAAGTGTGCTACTGCCTCTTTTAGTCCTTAGTTCATTAGGCGCTCTGGTAGCGTAGTGGTTACAAATTGGGCTGTGAACCTCAAGGTCAGCAGTTCGAAACTACCAGCTGTTCTGTGGGAGAAAGATGAGGCGTTCTGCTCCCGTAAAGATTTACAGCCTTGGAAACTCTGTACAGGGTCGCTATGAGTCGGAACCGACGCCACGGCACATCACCACCACCACTCAGTGAATTATTCCACGGCATCTGGCTGTGCTAACCATCCACTCCCTTCCAATTCAGCTCAGCCCAACAAATTCCTACTGCCTGCTCATTTATCTCCTCTGTGTCAGATCCTGTGCTTGAGAAACTAGGGCACAAAGATGAGAAAGACAAGGGCCAATGCCTGGTCTACAAAGAGATCACAGTCTACTCTGGAAACCAAAGCCATCAGCTAATAAGGAAGAGGCAGTCTAGACTGTTAATCTGAGGATTATTCAGCTCTCTTAACACAAGGGGATACCTCGAGTTGTAACTGACCCAATATCAAGAGGTTTTTGTTTCTTTTCCTTACATTTCAGACCACCCGCTCCTCCCTAAATGTTTGTCCTCTGCCCTTTCTACTGGATTCTCGCCCTCTGCTTGTCCATTCAATGTTGCTGTTTCCTTTTATCTTTCTTGCTTTTCTCTGTATCCTTTGAAAATATTTAAAGACCATTCTCATTCCCAGTGATACCCAAGTCTGTATCTTCAAACCTAACTATCACTGTAGCTCTATTTTCTCGTGTACAGTTATCCTACAACTCAGAAGCTCTAAGACGTAATTCCTGATCTTCGGTCCCAAACCTATTTTCCTCCTAGATCTTCTAGTTGCTTAATCTTTTGGACCTCTTGGTAGTAGCCAGGACTCATCCATACTTTCTGGCCACCCAGTTGGACTTCAGAGGCTATCTATTTTTATGTTTCAAATCCGTCTCATTGTCAGTCATGTCTTCCCTCTTGACAGTACTAAAGCTGTACCATCAGCTCGCATCACATCCCTTCTGCTCCATTGCAATAGTTTTCTAACATACCCCATGTCTCTGTTTCTTCCACCTCAAAATCATATGTTTGCCTGCTTTCTCAAAAGGTGGATTTAATCATTCACTTCTTATAAATCTTAACTACTCCCTAAAATCCAAACCATTATCAAAGGCATAAAACACGTAACAACACACGGTAGCTACCTGGTGTGGTGCCTTAGGATCAGCACTGGACTGCAAACCACAAGGTTGGCAGTTCAAACCCACCAGCTGCTCCTCAGAAACCCTCCACAGGGCCTCTATGAGTTGGAATCAGCTCACTGAAGGCATTTAACAATAATAGCCACACGTGTCTGTTGAAATGTAAATGGATTAAAATTAAATCAAACACTTTCACACTTGGACTTGCCACATTTCAAGAGTTCAACAGTTCATGTGTTCAAACCATCCACAATTGTCAACTCATCTGTAAACTCAAAATATATCAAATGATGAGTTGTCTGTAACTCTTGGAGGTTTCCCTTCATGTTTCTAGACTATTCCTTGTCTCACTGAACTGTAATTGCTTATGGGAATGCCTCTTCCACCAGCCTGAGCACTTGAGATTACTGATTGAATTCAACTCATCTTTGCCAAGCTGTGCCTTTCATAGTTATTGCTAAGTGCTCGTCGAGCCGGTTCTGATCCATAGCAACCCTGTCTAGGATTTCCAAGGAGCAACTGGTGAGCTTGAACCACTGACCTTGCAGTTCAAACCAACTTTGCAGTCCAGAGCATTAACCTGCAGTGCCATACATACCACGACTCCACCTTTCATAGTACCTGGCATGTAGTGGACACTCATTTATCCCTGTTTCTTCTCTCTCCTTAAGCATTACTCATACTGGCAGGTTAAGAAAGAAGAAACCAGAAGATGCTCATTTCACAACTTGACATGAAATCCAAATGGGGCAGCAAATTCCATCCTCCTCTTTCCAGCTATTAACCCAGGTGACTCTCCGAAAACAGACTATTCGTTTCTCTGCTCACCCTCCTTTCCAAGACCAGATTCAGTTCTTGTCTTTTAGAACCGCAGGGAAATAGTCTGGCAAGAACCACTGTTGTACCAGCTGATTTAAATTGAAATGTTTTCCCCAGATAAATGCGTGCTAAATAATACACCAGCTCTCTGGCCAAGAGAAGTCACAAGAGCTCTCAATAAAGGCACTTAGTTGCTGGTAAAGAGCTGTAAAGTGGTTCTCAGCTGATGTTTGCTGACCAGCAAGAAGCGGTTTCACCTGTTTTATATAATTGTCACTGCAGTCTTGCCTGCTGTATATTACAACTGCATCTCATAGACCCAACTGTCACCCTGGCTATGCCATCCAATCGAGGGTATGCCACAGTTCACTATAATTGATTTTGACAACCAGCCATCACGTCTCAGATCATTTCCGAAAGTGTCTGGTCCCCAGAATCCGTCTTCTAGGCCAATTCATACACCATGTGGTGCTAGAATACTAACACCAAAAGGGAATATGAAAAGGAGAAGACGGACGAAAAGGGGATTATTAATCTAAAAGGCCTAATAATACGCAGTGCTAGTATCCGGACATGACGCCCATAAAGATTCCACCTTCTCAACATGAAGACACATTTTGTGTTGAACTGGATCATCTTAGACAAATTCCAAAAGGATGCGTGGATATTCTGAAACAAGAGCATTCACACTTGTCCAGGTTCACATGCCTGTCCACCTCAGTCCTGGGGTGATGGTGTTTGCTTTGGACATATCATCGAGAAGCATGAGTCACAAGAGAGGGACATCAGGTTTGGTGAAGCAAAGAGGCAGAAAGGGGGTGGGGAGATCAACAATGAGACAGGATGGCACCGTTAACTACAACGACGGATGTCATCAAGAGGTGACATGGGACCAGGCAGTGTTTCATTCTGTAGCACAAAAGGTCATCATGAGTTGGCATCAACTTGGCAGCAGGTATTTAGCTCGCTTAGCTGTGGAGCCTGGAAATGATGGGATACAGGAATCTATCTTACACACAATGGCCCACACACAGTAGCCCACATAGAAAACAGCCTGTAGTTCACAGGATGTCTCTACAAAGGCCTTACTCCAGAGGAACACACACTGCATCCGGTTATATCAAATTCCTGATCGTCACAGCTATCTGTTACCAGGTTTCTGCTATGCTCCCTTTCTAAGGTTCCTAGATGAAACCTCAGCTGTAACCACTTGCATAGGGGCCCAGAGCCAAAGACAGGGAGGAATGGAACAGGACCATAAAGATCCATGTGTGCTATGTATTGCTCGTGTGACGACCCCTTAGGATACTGTCTGGGCCAACAAGGGTCACCTCTTACTGAATTAGTTTTAGGGTTTGTGGAGGCCTCATTCATTCTGCAGCCAGCACCATCCCTTGGCCAACACCCTCTCAGACGCAGCTGACAGAACTTAACACATCCATCCTAGGTCAAAGGTCAACATATGTATTGGGATAAAATGCTGGAATCGTTAATTCAGTGCCTTTGCTATGTTCTAGCATTTAGCTGGTGACCCTGGTCATAAAGTCACATTTGGGAAGGCTGAGGGAGTGGCAATTGAAAGGCCTGTGTATTCTCTAGGAAGGCAGGCCAATTCTGGTGTGCAAGCGTCAAACCTGCTTTCCAGGATGGCGAGAAGAGGTAGCAGATACCCCTTTCAAAGCATCCCAACGCCCGGCAGGTTTCCCTGCCCGGAAAGCTGATGTGAATCTCTTTGAATTACCAAGTGAAGGATATCCCTCTTGCCAGTCCCTGTCCCCCGCAGGCATAGCAGAAAAAGTATTACAGCCTGTCCTTACCTTGGGAATTAGCCTGCAAGACCCCGATGCTGTCATCAAACTGCATAGATTTGATGTTGAGTGACGCCAAGATACATTCCTTGTCCTGCAGCGAAGTATCATCAATATTATTCTGATTGGCTGACAGGATAACGCACATGTCACAGAGGTTGATGTTGACGGCTCTTAAATCAGCCCGACTTAATGGTGTACCCTTTGGCAGACAGGGAAGAAAAAAAGAGAGAGAGAGAGGAAGAGAAAGCAGAAGTGAGACCGAAGGAAGAGAAAGAAAAAGGGGAAAAAAAATAAACAAAACAAATTAAAGATTGAGCCAGAGCTTTGGGAAATTGTTTAACGAGTTTCTTTTTTATGCCCTGACATTAAACTGGCCTAACATCATTCAAGGGAATAGGAGCTGTGTGCTAATGTAAAGGGTAGTTGGTGCTGATGGCAGCATTTCAGGCCTGCTTTCAAGACTCAATCAAGCTATTACTAACAAACGAGGGAGAGGAATAATGCCAGGGTTCTACATCTTCGTCCTGCCTGGAAATTGTTTTGATTTAAGTAACTGTCCTGTGATAACCTCTGGCTTTCAGACTGTAACGAGGGGTGGGTTTCAAATGCCTGTTTATTTAATAGCAGGTCACTTCTATCTCAGGCAAAAGACAGCAGCTCTGACTTGAAAATCCAATGCAGCCAAGGGGAAAAGCCTGGTGGGATGAGGTAAGGCTAAGGGTTCTGTCCAATTTACAGGGCCAGGGGTAGAGAAAGCAGGGAGTTTGAATTAATGCATATCCTGCAAAGGGGAGACAAGAAGGAGTTGCGCTTCAGGTCATATAATTTCATTGCATATTTCCAATCAGAAAATAAATCACCAATTAATTGTCCAACAATAGAGGGATGGTTAAATACACCATCAAGCATACGTGTGATGCAAGACAGGGAAAAAGACAAAGTTCTCCAAGAAGACTTCAACTTGGAAAACAGAAGTTCTAGATTAATTCGTTAAGTATGAATTTATTTACTTATTTATTTATGTGTGTGTGTGTATAACTATATATATCTTTTATGAATTCGTTAAGTATGAATTCATATATATATGGAGCTCTGGTAGCGTAGTGGTTATGAATCAGGCTGCAAACCACAAGATCAGCAGTTCGAAACTACCAGCAGTTCCGTGGGAGAAAGATGAGGCTATCTGCTCCCGTACAGATTTACAGCCTTGGAAACCCTGTTCAGGATCACTATGGGTCAGAACCAACTTGACAGCACTTAACAACAACAACAAAAATATATATAAAGGAGCTCTGGTAGCATAGTGGTTACGAATCGGGCTGCGAACCTTAAGGTCCGGTGGTTCGAAACTACCAGCCGCTCCGCGGGAGAAAGATGAGGCTTTCTACTCCCGTAAAGATTTACACCCTCGGAAACCCTGTACAGGGTCGCTATGGGTCGGAACCGACTCGACGGCACTTAACAACAACAACATATAAGAACCCACACCAAGCAAAACTATATATTTATGAATGCATTTATAAATGTGTGTAAATTCACAGACAAAAGCTCAGAAAAAAAAAAAAAAAAAACACACTAAACTTATTAACAGTAATTACCTCTGGGGAAAGAAATAGGATTGGGAGGTGAAGGGGGAATTTTGTTTTTGACTTTATATACTTCTGTCTTGTTTGAATATTTTATAACAAGAACATATTTGTATATTACTTATGTAATTAAAAATTAACAAGCCAGTACACATGTTTTTTTAATGCCATAACAGCAACAATAAGAAGAAGATAGTGGAAAAACCCAGGTCAAGGTGCTAATGACCAAGAATTGGAATGCCACCGTAGGTAAAATAGGAGGGTATGGGTAGAGAGGGGCTGGCCACGGCTTAACGTTCAGGCCATTGAACGTCAGAGCTCTGCAGGCGTTACATTGTGGGATAATCTTGCAGGTCTCATCCAGCCACCGGCCTCCTGACTCTTTAGCCAGAACTCAGCCCCTGCTTTGCCTTTGTGGAGCCTAAGTACTCGGTGACTATCTGCAGAAGGCTTGCCCATTGGCTTGTATTTCTGGATGCCTTCCTCTCATTCCCCGTGTTGGAGAGTGAACTTTGCAAGTAATAGAACTTGCCTACAGAAACCAAACTCATTGACACAATTTTTTTGACTCAGTGGCTGCCATAATTCTTTTCTTAGCACCAAAATATTGCTAAAAAGTGGAATTAGGGTAGGAGGGCATTTAGTGTTCCCACCTTGGAACCAGTGTCTTTCAAGAGAAAAATACCTTGTTTTCCTGTGATCTTTTGGCATGAAATTAGCCTGCCCATCTTCCTGCATCATTGTTAGTGCGTAAGCCTCAACTGCACACACCCACAGTCTTTTAATTTCACCTTGTAGGGAATCCACAGTATTTGTGATCTAAGACAACCCTTGTACAGTTGTATATGAGTGACTTCAAAACGCAAGAAATACAAATCAAATAATACGGATAGAAACATTTTGAGTTTCTCTGGGCTGGCCCTACACGTGATGGACTATTTAAACAATGAATTATGGGAAAAGACAGGTGGAAGAAAGTCCTTTTTGTACAAAGAGGTTGTGCTTGAGCATGCTACATTTTGGAGGGTTTGTTGTTAAGTACCATGGAGTCGGTTCCGACTCATAGTGACCCTGCGCAGGGTTTCTTTACGGGAGCAGAACGTCTCATCTTTCTCCTGTGGAACAGCTCGTAGTTTTGAACTGCTGACCTTGAGGTTGGCAGCCTGACTCGTAACCACTATGCTACCAGAGCTCATTTTGGAGGGTTTAGAGGAGCTCTGGTAGCGTAGTGGTTACGAATCGGGCTGCGAACCTTAAGGTCAGCGGCTCCGCGGGAGAAAGATGAGGCTTTCTACTCCCGTAAGGATTTACACCCTCGGAAACCCTGTACAGGGTCGCTATGGGTCGGAACCGACTCGACGGCACTTAACAACAACAAGTATACTACATTTTGGAGGGTTTAGTATACTACATTTTGGAGGGTTTGAAAAGCACCTGCAAATAGGAGAGCTCAGTTGTGTGTATGCTGGTCAGTGAGTGGATATGTACAAAGGCAGCCAGAAGGAAATACACACACACACACACACATGCCAAATGTCACATGTACCGCTGACACAGAATACACACACACTTCTCACACACACCTCTGACACAAACCACACACACACACACTTCACACACACCAGACATCACACACACCCCTGACACAAAATATACACACACATTTCACACACACCAAACATCACACACACCCCTGACACAAAACACACACACTTCACACCCGACACAAAATATACTCACATTACACATACACACATCAAACATCACACACACTGTGATACAAAACACACACATACACAACTAAACATTGCATACACCCCTGACACAAAACATACACATTATACATGCATACCAAACACCACACACACACCCCAACACAAAATACATACAAAAATACACACCAAACACACACACCTTACACAAAACACACACACCAAACACCACATACCTACAACATACTCAATACACATACACACTAAACATCATACACACCAACATCAAATATAAGTACTACACACATACATATACACAAAAACTACACACAACAAACATCACACACACTCCTGACATTATACAGACTACACACATACTCTAAACATCACACATATCCCTGACACAAAACATACACTACACACACACACATACTTAACACACACATAACATCTCACCACATCCATCAATACAACATATACACACACATACGAGGAGACTTAAAAAAAATGGGATTGAAAGATAATGGAATCTGTCCAGGAACTTTTTGAAGCCCCTTCATACACATAGATTCATGTATCCCAGCAAATAATTCCACATGCTCTTTACAAACATAGTTTTAGAGTCCAGTTCAAAATGTGTTCATAAATAACCACAGAAAAGCAGATAAAGAAAAGAATCCTGAAAACATAGAGTCAAATCTACTATATTTCTGAAGTTAGAAGAATATATTCATTCATGCTCTTCTTTGTAGTGATTGATTGCCAGTTAGTAAGGATTTTAACTTCACGTGTGGACCAAATCAGTGGGGTTGTGGTCCTCCATCCAGGAGACTTGTCTGACATCTGTCTTGCTGCTGTAAGTATCTAGTAAGCATCTATTGTATGTTGTGGTTGTTAAGTGCCATCAAATCAGTTCCGACCCATAACAATCCTGCATAGGGTTTCCAAGGAGTGGCTTGTGAGCTTGAACCGTCAACCTTGCAGTTCAAACTGACTTTGCAGTCCAGCACATTAACCTTCAGTGCCACATCAGGACTCCTCTACCATATAATACATTATTCTATAAGGGCAAATGGTGACTAGGAGTGTGTGTTACTGATGTAAAGGCTCAATGCATTCTGTGATCATATGACTTAATTCATTTTCCTAGTTCTTATGTTCTAGAAGCTGACTGAATAATGGACTTTACCTCCACAAGCTCAGAAGAAGACCCCTTCAAATGTACATCAAATTCATGTGCCTCAACTGTAAGAACGTTAATTTGTTTCCAAGAAAAATGTTTGGAAGAAAATATGATATTTGGATGGATACGTGGAGAAATACATGAGATGGTGACATTCGCAATATCCTATAATTTTTTAATGACTATGAAAATACTCTGATGGTTAAAGGTACTTACATCATTCTTAGAACATGAATCCCATGACCTCACACCAAATTATGGAGTCAGAAACCATTTCTTTCAAATTTTGATCAAAAACATCACAGGCATGCATGCATGTACAAGGGGCCTCTAAAAGTTCATGGAAAAATTATCTTTCTAGTCCATTTTTCCACTAAGTTTTCAGAGCCCCTTTGTGTACACATACAAACACGTCTGGACTTTTAAATGAATGGGGCTTTGCCAAGTATACAGCAGACATCACTAAAAGGCTCCACAATGTATGGTGGTGGTGTGCTGTGCAATTGATTCTGACTCCTAGCTATGTATGTTGTGGTTGTTGTTGTTAACTACCGTAGAGTCAGTTCCAACTCATAGTGACCCTGCAAAGGGTTTCTGAGGCTGTAAATCTTTACGGGAGCAGAAAACCCCATCTTTCTCCCGCAGAACAGCTGGTAGTTATGTACAGTTTGTTACAAACAGAAGGTGGTATCTATCAAGACCCCCTAAGTCATAAGTAAAACACTAGAAATAATGCATAAGTGATTCTGCCATCAAGCATCACAACACTGCAACACACTAGGTTCATGCAGGCAAGAGCTGTGTTTAAACACTGATATAGTTAACACATTTGGTACCATCTACATTTCATCCCTGATGAGAGACTGAACTGGGCTACAGTAAATTCCTCCTAGTAAGGCCTCCCAGGGTTTGAATTTTCCTAGATGGAGCAGGGTTAGGGTTGAGTCCTCAGGCCCATGGACAGATGAAGAAATAGACGCATGATCAAACCTACAAATATTACCCTCCTCTGGGGTTTTCTTTTATGAATGAAAAAAGCATTATAATGCAATTACACTGGACTTACAGGCAATATGGAGACTTTGGGGAAGTTGTGAAGCGTCTCCCATTCCCGCTTGAGGTACTCAATGGAGCCCACGAACACGATGTGTTTGAGCTCGTGGTAATGGAAGTTGCTGGCACGGAGAGGCATTACCAGGTTCCGGAGTCCAATCAGGGCTGAAGTGACATCGCCAAAGATGCAGACCACAACATGGCCACTGAGGACGGTCATGGCGGCTTCGCTTCGAGTCTGCAACAAGGACGAGTACAAGGGCATTGGTTAGAAGGCCTCACAGGATGGTTACAAGGAACAAAGAAATCATTCGTGTATAGCATCTAGTACCCATTTACTGAGTCTTCACTATGTGCAACTGTTTTGGTTTCATCTGTTACATACATGATATGTATATCAGTAGCTCTGAGTATATATATACACACACATACACACACACAAAATATTATGAAATCCATATGTAAATATACATCCACACATATCCTTACCTGGCCTGGTGATAACAATGGTTATGTGCTTGGCGTCTTATCAAAAACTTAGCAGTTTGAACCCACCTAGACTCTTGGTGTGATGCTATAGGATAAGCACTGGGGGCTGTGAACCGAAATGTCAGCAGTTCAAACCCACCAATTGCTCCTTGGAAACTCTGTACTGGGTAGCTCATAGTTGGAATTGACTCAATGGCACTTACCAATAACAACAAGCCATTTTATGGAAGATGTGCTCCCATAAAGATTACTGCCTAGAAACCCTATGGGGCAGTTCTACTCTGTCACTTGGCGTTACTATGAGTTAAAAATCAACTGGCCCACACCTAACAACAACAACAGGAAGGAAGAGAAATAGAAAAGTTATCTTCTATTTTGGAGGGTTTGAAAAGCACGTGAAGATATGAGAAATCCAACTATACCTGCAAGGACACCCCAACTGTCCACTACTCACTGACTGTAGGGAGTGGGTTTGCCTAGATATTGTCTTAATTTCCATGAAATTGATGATGAAATGGGCAGTTGAGATAATAGGCTGATGGGCAGATCTCTACGTCGGTCTCAGCTTGAGAAACTGAGTGTTAACTTCTAGACACATCACTGAAATGTCACACGGCTCTTTTCTCCCTTTGGTCCGAAGGGGACATGCACTTCCATGCCCCAGTGGGTCAAGAATGATGTCCTAAGTCAGAGGGTGGCAGCTCTGGTACATGGGTCAAATCTGGTCAACCACTTATTTTTATTTGGACAATGAGCAAAGAACTGTTGTTGTTAAGAACCGTCAAGTCGGTTCTGACCCAGCGTAGGGTTTCTGACGAGCTGCTGGTGGGTTTGAACTACCAAACTTGTGGTTTGCAGTCTAGTGCTGGTCCTAGAGTGCCACACCAGGAGCCAAGAATAGCTTTTACATTTTAAAATGGTCAGAACAGTCAAAAGATGACTCACATTTCATAATGTGAAAATTATATAAAATTAAAATTCCAATAAGGGTTGATTGGAAAAGAGCCCAGCTCATTCATTCAGGTATTGCCTCTGGCTACTTTTACACGGCAGCCGTACAGTGCCGTAGTCGTAAGAGACACTGTATGTATGGTCAGCAAAGCCTAAAATAGTTATTATCTGACCCTTAACAAGCTTGCTGATCACTTTCCTAAGCTAGTGCTGTCTTGGAGTTTGCAGAGTCTTGCTTGGAGCGGTATAACTTGTGTGTTAATCAAAGGAGCCACCCTCTCCCCCAAATAATCATTAAACAGGCCAGTCAATGTGCTTCATGCACACCTACCACCTGCCTGTCAGTGAAGACTTGTGTGCTGCTGAGATGCTGAACAGCTTCCCGCGCAGCTTCTGGGCTAAGCCTCAAGGCAGAAAGGTCTGGCAATCTACTTCCAAAACTCATTCCAAGAAAACCCTGTGGATTATAACAACCTGATTCCAAACTAACCATGGGGATAGCACAGAACTAGGCAGTGTTGGTGCCATGATTCAGAAGCCAACTTGATGACACTTAACAACAACAACAACAACAACAACAACAGAGGACAACAAACCCTTATCTTCCCTCTATCATAAGCCTATAGGAGCTCTGGCAGCGTAGTGGTTATGAATCGGGTTGTGAACCGCAAGCTCAGCAGTTTGAAACTACCAGCTGTTTCACGGGAGAAAGATGAAGCTTTCTGCTCCCGTAAAGATTTACAGCCTCGGAAACCCTGTACAGAGTTGCTATGAGTCGGAACCGACTCAACAGCACTTAACAACATCATAAGCCTGTAGCTACAGAGCAGACAAGTGAGAGAATAAAACCACACCAGGAGACGGGGGAGCCAGCTTCTTGGAAAACAAAGTGGTTAGCTGCTGCTGGCCCGCTCGGATGGTCCCATGGGGGCCTACCATGCTTTGGGAAAGGCATATTAATGTCCTCTGCACATATCAAACTCTGCTTGATTTAATCCCTAGAATTGACCGCCATATTGATTTTTTAAATGCCAATACTGCAATCCATGACAATGTCAGGGTTATTACAGTAACCCCCAAGGAGAAGAGGAAGGTAGCCTTCACTCCTGATCATTAGACTACAGCAGACACTGTCACCATTATTGGTTTCCACCTGCAACGGTGCAGGGAAACCTGAGATGCAGGCCGTAAGAAATGGCTTATAAATGGTGACCAAGGCCCATTGGGGAACTCACATCCAGTTTCAGCCCTTTGGGAAGAAGAACCAAAGCTGGCTGACTGGGAACCACTTGCAGAGGGTCATCCAGCATATTACATGTGTGATGGGTCTCCGAATTATTTTTAATTGGCAAATCACCTACTCATTTGTCTTCCTGGCTGTCTTTATCTGCCCCCACCAGAATACAAGCGCTATGAGAACAGTTGTTGATTGGTGTTCTAAACTGTGTCCCTAGCACCTGTAATAGTGCTGATACAAAAGTTTTTATTGTTGTTAATTGCCATTCAGTTGGTTCTAACTCAGAGCAACCCTGTATACGGTTTCCAAAGACCATAGGAGGCTCATATAAAGGTTTACTGAGTGATGTTATTTGTCATATGAGAGAAGTAGTAACTGACCTCCCTAAACTGCTCCACAGTGGTAGGGGATGGTGACTGCATACCAGGTAGCATGCGCAGAGGAATACCTAGGCAAAGTTATTAACCCTGGGCCCTAGACATTGCCTCCAGCCTCCAGCTTGCTACAGGTGGATGACACGAGGCTGAGTCAGGATCACTAGAGCACAGGTGCTCCAGACACAATATCAAAATACAAACACACAAGTGACTTTGTGGTTTGAACCATTTACACTCCAAGTCAATGCATGTTTCGGGAAATTCCAGAGTTTCTGTGTGCTGCCTGCAAGTTTCACACTTCCTAAACAGCTTCCAGCACACTATTATTATTGCTGTGAAGTGCTGTCGAATCTATTCTGACCAACAGCAACCCTGTATAGGGTTTCTGAGGAGCAGCTGGTGAGCTTGAACCAGGGACCTTGCAGTTCAAACGGCTTTGCAGTGTGGCACATTAACCCACAGCATCACCCCAGGACTCCAGCACACTATATTGGCCCTTAGAATTGAAGTAGGAAAACGCAGTAGACATTCAGATAAAACACAGGGGAAATCTACAGAACGGAAGCAAAATGCCTTCTCGGGACTTTCTTTAGGAAGGGTGGCCATACCGTCAGATATGATCAGATTTTTCTGGCTAATAGACGGAATGGGCCACAACAATTTAGGGATTAGGGACACCAGGAAGAAAGATTACTTCCATCTGATCTTCCCGACTATTAATCCACTTTTCATGGATTAGCAAGACAATAAAGTTTAAGAAAGTACAAAATAAACCTGAAAGACTTTTTGAAGACAAGACTAAAGGGTGGCATGAAATTGTTTGCTGACATTCTAACGACAATCCGGAAGAAGCTCAGTGCTTCTACTGAGAATGTTCATGAGCCAATGAAGAAACAGAACTCTGAATCCTTTGTCTCCCCAGGTGGACCATCATTCACCATTTTATCACAAGCAAATGTATTTTGCTAACTATGCTAAGATGTAAGCTTGTTGTTGTTGTTAAGTGCCATCAAGCTGGTTCCAAACCACAGCTACCCTGCATAAGGTTTCCAAAGAGTACCTGGTGAGCTTGAACTGCCAACCTTTTGGCTTAAACTGACTTTGCAGTCCAGCGCATTAATCCAGAGCACCACACCACGATAGCAGATGGATGCTAAGAAGGGTCAAATACACGAAGGCTTGGAATCTACTTTTGTATTGTTTCACATATAAGAACACAAAACATCGTCATAAACAAAACATTGTTTTCATAGCATTCAATCATAATTAACGGGCAACTTTATTGAGTTATCTCTTGGGATCTTTTCTAAGCCCCTTATTGCTGCTTTTGACCTTCTATGTCACCTACTGGTAGTGTTGTGGGCTAGGTATTGGACTGCTACCGTCAACGTCAGCGTTCAAACCCACCAACCACTCTGCTCCAATTAAGGTTTGTAGTCTCGGAAACTCTATGCAGGGTCGCTATGAGTCTGTGTTGAATTGATGGCTTGTCTGATTTGATCACCCTCTGAGTTTGGGACTATTCTCACCTCATCTTTATACAGACAATAAAAACCAGCAGAGAGGGAACCCTGAGGTGCAGTCACAGGAATCATGGGAAATACCAGCTTCCATGATGGCTTCCACATACCATGCCATCCAGCACTATTTACATGCAGATTGGAAATTCCACTCTTGATTCATATACTGATCAGAGTTCTATGAGCTCCTAGTTTCTTCTGTGTTCCTAATTGCAATGGTTAAAACCAATTAGGACCAGGGACTGTGTTATCCCACCATTCTGATAGGACAACCTCATTCCTGACAAATGGCATTTGGTAGTGACATGGAAGGCTCACCAGAATGACTTTCTCGATCTCCTTGGGTGCACACCAGTGAAACATCCCAGTGGAGTCATACTTCTTCACACTGGAGTCCATGTTATCAATCTGATCATTGCCAGGAATTAACAAAGGGTCATGCCTGCGGAGAAAAGAACAGGAAATCCTAAGTGGAAGATGTGATAAATTATAAAGGGACAGTGTCCTCAAGAGTTACAGGAGATGAAAAATGGAGGGGACGTGGTTGTCACTGGAGGCCATTTCTTTGGCTTCAGAACCCATCCTTTGAAAGATAACTGCCCCAAGCCACCACCACCCACTGAGAAATCCAGATGATCTCTGTCAGGGTTAATTCTGTCTTTCTCTGGTTCCTCTTTTCCTAAAATGATCTTCTTCACATCATTTTGTGCATTCAGCCATCTTTCTATGGATAGTCCTTTCCTCCCACTCTCATTTTATCAGTGAGCCAACATATGTACTCACATGTGTGCGTGTACACACACACACACATGCAGAGGCGCTTGTACACTCCAAAGGGTTGCTATTAGCATTGGCAATGAAGAGGAAGGAATAGGAATAGAGCTTCATGCTGGCTGACTGGCATGAGGATGGAAAGCCAATTACTTGCTCTTTCTGACTACAACTTCTGGCGTGATGCTCTTCGCAGTAAAAGCTTTAACAGGCTGCACTTTAAATATTTTAGCAATTTGCCCAATCAGATTTTCCTCTCCCAAGCTGAAGCCCTTTAAAGATTCAGAAGCATGTCACTTCAGAGCAGACTGACTACCACATGCCCACATCTGGAATACAGGATTTCAATATTAAACAACAATTCTCTCCCCTCGCCTTGACAACTGTATTTGCACTCACTGTCCAATGACTACCTCCCTCGCCCCTCTACCTTCGCCTACAGCTGCAAGCTCAGAAGCAATTGAGCAGAATTGTCTTGAAGTTCCAGGGTTGTTATATTCACCCACTCTTGCCTTGCTCATTGATGAAACCGGAAAATGCTTCTACACAGGCCGGAGACCTCCCTGCTGGTGGGTTGGCTAGGTAACCTCAGGTTGCATCACTGTTTGTGATTCCCTGTTACTGATTCTGCACATCAGTTTTAGGGGAGACCACTGTTGGTTTATACAACACTGACCACCACATAGAATTAAGATACTGTTCCCGAAGTACCAGTTACCCTGGAAACTGAGCTAACTTCCTGAAATACTACCAGTGTAATGTTTTAAATATATATATGAGCTTCATATTCTAAACATTTACTTAAAGGTTTTCATCATTTAAATGATCTATTAAGAGCATCAAAATGTGGCCTCTGTTTAGTTGTTAGTATTTATAGCTCTGAAATTTCTTTAGCTTCAGCCTAAACTTGTATATGAGCAATTGAGGATCTGTTTCACAGCCTGACTCTGGCTTGCTTTGGCTGATGATATGGAGCTTTTCCGCCATTTCTTCCCATAGATGTAGTCAATTTGATGTCAGTGTATTCCATCTGTTGAGAGCCACCTTTTATGGTGTCTTATGCTGTTTTCAAAAGTTATTTGCAATAAATAAGTCAAATGCCTGACAAACTACTTCAAAAAAAGCACCAGCCATTGAAAACCCCATGGGGCACAAATGGTCTTGCATTTAGATGGAACCCAAACCAAGTCTCCTTAGGATACAACTCCTGGATCAGAGCCTGCCTATACCACTGCCTGGATGTGGGCAAGTCACTGTGAGCAAATCATTCTACACTTTGGTTATCTGTATGCAAACTATTACAAAAAAGTATAACTCTCCAGAAATAAAATGAGTTATCTCCCAAAGCATGGGTTTGTCATCACTTGAGACTTTCCAGAAGAGCTGGGGATATAGAGAGGATTAAGTAATAAAGTAACCAAACCAAAGCCACTACCAAATATTATAAAACAAAATAAACAGTTTCCATCCAGTTGACCCCCAATTTATGGCCACCCCAAATGTGTCAGAGTAGAACTGTGTTCCATAGAGTGGTCAATGACTAATTTGTTTTCAGAAATAGATCACTAGAACTTTCATTTCAGGTGTCTCTAGGTAGATTTAAATTACCAAAATTTCACATGCACCACCAAAGGACTCCAAATTAAATGTAATACAGAATTCTTACTGTTGAGTGAAAGTAGAATCCCTTCAAAGTTTGAAGCAAGGGCTTCAAAAAGTTCATGAAAAAACAACAACAACAACAACAACAAAAAAAAGATAATGGAATTTTCCCATAAACTTTTTAAAGCCCCCACATATGTTCTCATTGGGAAAAGAGGTGGCTAGAATGATTTGGGAAATACTGGGTCATATGGGGCAATGAAGGGCTGGGGGGCACTGAGCAGGGAAAGACCAAGTTGTTATTGGAAATAAGATGGGGAGTGGGAGCACCAAAGCCTGATGACTTTAGCATTCCATTAAACACCATTCCCCAGTAGGTTCTACTGGTAAGGAAGAAGCTTGATTCATTCCAGCAAAAAAAGAGTATGTAATTATTTCAGGTAGTTTCTTTACAAAGGGTACATGTCTTTAACCGTGTCTGCTGCTATAGAAATTTCAAGTCTCTTAAGTGAACTTAAGAGTCTCCATGTGGTTCAGACAGTTTATATACTTGCTATCAATCAAACGTAGGAATTCCAGTCCACTCAGTTACCTTGGGAGAAAAGCCTATGACCTACTTCTGAAAAATCAATCAATGAAAACCCTGTGGAGCACAGTTCTAACTGACACCCAGTGTGGTTGCCATGTGTCAGAGTTAAGTCAATAGCAACTGATTATCCATCCATCCATCCATCCATCCTTCCATCCATCCACCCATCCATGAATCTATCCATCCATCCATCCATACATCCTTGCATCCATCCACCCATCCATGAATCTATCTATCCATCCATCCATCCATCCATCCACCCATCCATGAATCTATCTATCCATCCATACATACATACATCCTTCCATCCACCCATCCATGAATCTGTCTATCCATCCATACATACATACATCCTTCCATCCATCCATCCTTCCATCCATGAATCTATCTTTCCATCCACCCATCCATGAATCTATCTATCCATACATCCATACATACATCCTTCCATCCATCCATCCTTTCATCCATCCATCCTTCAATCTCTGGGTGGTATGAACTATTCAAGTCCTCAACTGCTAACTAAAAGGTTGGACTTTACAGTCACCCAGAGACACCTTGGAAGGAAAACCTGACAATCTACTTGGAAAAATATCATCCATTGAAGACCCCATGGCACAGAGTTCTACTGACACACATGTGGTCTCCATGATGGGTTTGACACAATGGTCAACTTATGCTGCTGAGAGACATCTGACATCAGTGAAGAGTAGTGTCTTTATTCACAGCAACTTCTGCTTCTACATAGAGATTTTTGGAATTTATATTAATAGAAGAAAACCAAACATTGGCCAATAAGCACCACAACAAATACTGCCGTGGAGACCCAGAGTAAGTGGGCAGTTTGTGGTACATGGAAGACAGGACCATCAGAAACCTTCATGAACAAAATCTGCCAACATTGTCATTTATGTTATATGCCACGGAGTTGGTTCCGATTCATAGCGACCCTGTACAGGGTTTTCGAGGCTGTAAATCTTTACGGGACCAGAAAGCCTCATCTTTCTCCTGTGAAACAGCTGGTAGTTTTGAACTGCTGACCTTGCGGCTCACAGCCCGATTCATAAGCACTACGCTACCAGAGCTCCTTTATAGGGTGATGAAAAGAACCATTTCCAAAGATATTTGGACTCACAGACCACTTAGTTGGAACCAAGAAACAACACGAGATACTGTCTTTCATGTCTTAGTTATTTCATGTATTTCCTTGATTCACAAAATCCCAAACTTCCCTAAAATGCTTCATAATCAATTCAAGGCTCATTTGTCACTAACAACTTAGCTGCTACACTGGTCTTCCTTTAGGCTAATAAGAAATCTCAAAGCAGAATATGTCTGCCGCATAGTCTACGTTGAAAGAAAACAAAACAGAAATAATGTACTAGGGTTTAGTGGGAGGCTTGTATCCCGCTTTTCAGCCACAATGCCATCTGGTGGGGACCTATATAACTGTGGGAATCTAAATGTCATTGTGTGCCACTAAGTCAGTTCTAACTCATAGCGACCCTGTACAGGGTTTCCAAGAAGCAGCTTACAGTCACACACTAGGACTCCTCTGAATCTGAATAAACAGGCTTTATCCCATCAACCTCAGCACCAGAGAACCCTCAGGACATAGCATCCCACTAATTGCATCAAAATCCATTATTACCTCCAAAATATTTTTTCATTTCATTCAAAGTGACTTCTGTTACTAAAAAGGCATAGTTTCAACAGAAAATTCAAAGTAGAAAATCTTCAGTTTTGACCGGATTAAGAACCCCCCCACTTTTTAAATTGAGTAACAATTGAATTTCTTATACTTGGGCTTCTTGCATCTGAGCTCACACTTGCAGCGTTCAAGCTAAAAACGAAGCATGTTGTTGTTGTGTGCTGTCGTTGAGTCAGTTCTAATGGATAGAGACCCTCAATAGGGTTTCAGAGGAGCGGCTGGTGGATTTGAACTGCCGACCTTACAGTACATTGCTTATTCCACAGCACCACACCAGGGCTCTGAAATTAAGCATGGCTGACTTCAAAGAAAGAAAAACAAAAGATCATTGTTTTGAGGGTTCGCCAAGCTCAGGCAATGCCATTTGCCATCACTTAATCTCAGGCATTATTCTAAATGCCAGGCTACAGCAGAAACACATCAAGCTTGCCCAGAGCCTAAAGCAAAACCACAAATCCCCTTCTAGAGAACGTGCTGTGAGGAAGCCAGTATTCAGTTTTAAAGAGTGCAGCTCCTCTTCTAGACAAATCCAGCAAATCCCAGTTTACTCTGTGCTAGTGGGCTCAATGCCGGACTTCAGAAATTGACAGTAAAGCATAGTGAAACAAACAAAAGGTTGTAAAAGAGGTAAGCTACAAAAACTATTTGAAAATGTCCATCCTTTTCCCTGCTTGAACCTCAACACCTCAAGTTTCTTTACATGATGAAGTCTTTTCTGTCTTTACACGTAATCCATCTCAGTTAAGGCACACAGACCCTCAGTGGTATCTCT